ACAGAACAAAAAAAAAATATTTTATTAAAGAAAATAGCATGAAGAACCCAGCCATGGAGAAGAGGACCAGGTGTGAACTCTTTTGAACATTTCCCACACTATGAGCGGTTAGAGACTTTTTTTGACCGGTCTGACTTCTCTTGACGTATCCTCTTTTGAACGTTCCCTGCACTAGAAGCACGGAGAGACCTTTTTTTTGACTTCTCTTGATGGACCAGAACTTCAGGTTTCGGTTTGAAAAGAGGGACCGAATGGGAGATCGAGCCCCTGTCCTCATGGAGTTTCTTATGTCGGACGAGGCAAAACTGTTGTTTGAAGCGGTTCCCGCACTCTGGGCAGGAAACGGGCGCTCATTCACATGTCTCTGCTCGTGCAGGGTGAGCATATCCTTCCGTGTAAAACCTTTCCCGCACTGCTTGCAGGAGAAGGGAGTCTCACCGGTGTGAACTCTGAGATGTCTCCGCAGGTGAGCTTTCTGGATGAAACGCTGACCGCACTCCAAGCAAGGAAAAGGCCGGTCCCCGCTGTGGATTCTGAGATGTTGGTCCAGGACTGATTTTTCCTTGAAGGATTTTCCGCACTCCAAACACGGATAGGGCCTGATTTCACTGTGGTGTCTTTGATGTCTAAGAAAAGACGAATTGGAGCTAAAACCTCTCCCGCACACCAAGCACACAAATGGGCGCTGTTTATCGTGCGACCTCTTATGGATGTTGCAATACGCTTTGGTGGTAAAAGCTTTCTTACATTGAGAGCAGGAAAATTTCTTCTTGTGTATTTGACGTTTACCATTCTTCAGGTTACTGATGGAAGGCTCCTCGGCAACCGAGAGGTTCTGTGACCTCTTAGCACGGCGGACTAGAGGACGCCTAGTTTGAGTAATTGGGGCCACTCCTGGGGGGGGTTGGGTTGTTCCATTGTCTTTTGTTTTAGAGATTGGATGTGAGGTAAGAGTTCTCTTCAGGTGAGTCCGAAGGTCACGACCCAATGCTGGAAAGACAAAAAAAAAACGTAGACGTCAGTTAATAATGGGTTCATACAGTTGTGACATAAAGATCGAGACGATCAAAACACCAACACAAGGGATGAGATAATGGATGGAGAGATAATGTTTGGATGGAGATGGACCTTTCATATGGTGTCCAGTATCTCCTCCTCATTTGTTGGGAACAGGACGTTATATTGAGGAATGGAGTTGGACCTTTCATATGGTGTCCAGTATCTCCTCCTCATTTGTTGGGAACATGATGTTATATTGAGGAATGGAGATGATGGACCTTTCATATGGTGTCCAGTATCTCCTCATTTGTTGGGAACATGACGTTATATTGAGGAATGGAGATGGACCTTTCATATGGTGTCCAGTATCTCCTCCTCATTTGTATGAATTGAGGAATGGAGATGGACCTTTCATATGGTGTCCAATCTCCTCCTCATTTGTTGGGAACATGACGTTATATTGAGGAATGGAGATGGACCTTTCATATGGTGTCCAGTATCTCCTCATTTGTTGGGAATGTGACGGTATATTGAGGAATGGAGATGGACCTTTCATATGGTGTCCAGTATCTCCTCCTCATTTGTTGGGAACATGACGTTATATTGAGGAATGGAGGTGGACCTTCCATATAGTGTCCAGTATCTCCTCCTCATTTGTTGGTGTTATGTTAATAAGGGGTATACAGCTGATTACTAGACCAGTTTTGGCATTTATTACACACCTGAACTGCTACATAGAGAAGATTTCTTCTTTTGCATTGTTGCCATCATTTTAATCGCTTGCATAGACTGCTGCCCATCCTTCACCGGTGTCTCTTTCTTTCTAGCTTTTGTATTCACATCTTCTTTACACTAAAACAAAAGAAATTATTAAATAAAAATGGAGTACCAATAAACTACAACTATATAATGATACAATGTCAAAACTGAAGAATCTTTTGAGTTCTCGAACCTTAGCGACCCGACAATGGCGAGGGATGTTGTGACCTTTCTGTGTGGAAACTCGGGAATAGAGAGGACGGAGACATCTCTCTGGTGGGTTTCTGGTATTAGGTGGCTTCTTCAAAACATCTTTGTAGCGATCCTTGTGTCCTTCAGAAAGCTCCTCCATCACACCATACTCCTCATCGTCCTCTGCAAACTCTTCTTTAACAATGATATTAAGATCTCCAAGGCTTTCACTCTGAATATATAATAAGACATTTGTTATAACATGCTTACATACAAAATCACAACTACCAGTGATTGTTCCTCATCTACCTGATGATGGTGAGGGATGGTGTGACCTTCCTGTGTGGAATCCTGGGAATACAGAGGATGGGGACATCTCTCTGGTGGGTTCCCATGACTGGATCCATCTGTAGGAAACACACAGAGTGACTGAATCCATTGTTTCTATGTGTTTATCAGATGATGGGGGATCTAGGTGGAGCCTCCGTACTGCTCTCTCCTTTACAATAAAGTCTTCTCTTACCTGGTGATGTGAATCTTTGGCACTTCTTCCTCATGTCCTCAGAGAGGTCATCTACATACCCCCAATCCTATCAAGAAATAGACAGTGACACCTTATAGGAACCTGACACACACACACAATGATACAGTCACCATCCAGACACATCCCTTGTCTGTTACTGGAGAATGTCCCAGAATTCCCGGCACCGCTCACCTCTCCTGTCAGCAGCTCCATCATCTTCTTGGCGACTTCTAGAATTTTCTGCAAGTTCTGTCTTTTGGGTTTTAGGGAGTCACATGGAGGCACTGAGATGGTCATATGATCACCTGACTTCAGAAGACGAACTCTCTGTATTGAGGAACCAATAGGAACACAATGTTAGACTCCCAGAATCCTCCTCACCTCTCCAATCAGGTCTGTGTTTTATTAATAGAGATAGGAGTGATGTCATGTGACCTCCCAGAATCCTCCTCACCTCTCCGGTCAGGTCTGTGTTTTATTAATAGAGGTGAGAGTGATGTCATGTGACCTCCCAGAATCCTCCTCACCTCTCCAGTCAGGTCTGTGTTTTATTAATAGAGGTGAGAGTGATGTCATGTGACCTCCCAGAATCCTCCTCACCTCTCCAGTCAGGTCTGTGTTTTATTAATAGAGGTGAGAGTGATGTCATGTGTCCTCCCAGAATCCTTCTCACCTCTCCGATCAACAGGTAGACGATCTCCAGGGTGAGGTTTAGTATCTTCTCAGTTATGTGACTCAAGTCCTCCTCCATCCTCATTGATGTGGTCATGTGATCTATTTGCATGAAGAAGGACAGTAAGCCTGATGATCTGATCTGTAGACTCCTAAGAGCAGCGGCTAGAACCACCCAGGCCTCATAACAAACCTTCGTGTGATCATAAGGGCCCATTCACACCTAGCAATTTGGAATCAAGGGTGGAATCGGGGCAATTCTGCCCAGCATTTCCATATAGCGGCAAAACGCACGCTGCACCTTTGGGTGGCATTGATTTCCAATGGCACCACAAAACATGATTTTGCCACAATTGGCAAAATGCGCTAAGCCCATCTTTTTAATAGGTTTAAGAGCTTTTATTTTTAAACAACAAATGCGAGTGAATGGGTCGCCCAACACGCTGTAACGCTTGTAAATCATGAGCAGGAACGTGCGTTTATGCCAAGTGTAAATGGCGGCTGAAATTCTGCCTCCCCTGTGTACTGCGGAGAGCCAACAACACGGGTGAATTCCGTAGCACAGGGGTGTCTTCTGCTCCAGCCACTGTCGGTGAAAGAGAAAGTTCCTCGTCTCCTTTAATGCCAGAGAGTGGGTCGGAGTTTGCGGTCATGTGACCACGTATCAAAATCGCTGAGAATGTATTTACACTGCGACTTGTTAAAAAACGTATGCAGGACCATGGGGGGGACGGGGACATTTGTTGGTTTATTACTGAGCCCTTCCTTGCGGAGGGAAGAGGACAGACGTGATGGTGGAGGGAAGGAGACGGCGGAGGGAAGGGACGGCGGAGGGAAGGGGACAGAAGGGACGGCGGGGGGAGAGGACGGTGGAGGGGGGAGAGGACGGTGGAGGGGACGGCGGAGGGGAAGGGACAGTGGAGGGGACGGGAGGGTCGGTGGAGGGGACAGGAGGGATGGCGGAGGGAACGGGACAGTGGAGGGGACGGAAGGGACGGCGGAGGGGGAGGGAGGGACGGCGGAGGGGAGAGGGAGGGACGGCGGAGGGGAGAGGGAGGGACGGCGGAGGGAAGGGACAGAAGGGATGGCAGAGGGGAAGGGATGGCGGAGGGAAGGGACGGGCGCGACCATGGAGGGAAAAGGATGGGTGAAGGGAAGAGGACGGACATCACAGTGAGGAAGAGGACAGACATGTTGATGGAGGAAAAGGATGGACATAACAAGGTGTTACTGGGTGTAAATACACAATCAGATCCTCTTACCTCCTCTGTTGCCACTTCAAGCAATAGCTCTTCTCTACTTCCTCCCGACTCACCTCTCACCCGGAACTTCCTTATACCTGACATCACTTCCGGTCCGTCCCTGACATCACTTCCTGTCTGTGGATTCTATTCCTAGAGATGAGACCTCCTTGTAGCAGAGAATACTCCATTCACGTTTAGTGTCACCTCACCAGCCCCGAGTTCTGCGGGACTTTCCTCCCATAGAACCAAGAAAGGGGTTCTTGGCCAAGCTGTCCACCACAGAAATACATGAAGGGGCCCCTGTAAGGTGTGGATACAGACCCTCAAAGTACTATCCAAGTGTGACGTCACCATTAGGAGAGCCCCTCCTTTCCTCATCTGTTTGGCAGCCATTTTTTTTTCTTCCAAACAACATTTTTACCCAAAAAAAAAAATCCAAATAAAAGTTAATTTTAGGGCACATTAATGCAATATATTACTATACAAACTGTATATATGCCATATAACCTACACTGTTAAAAAAAATGAAAGCAAGACTTTAATCAGTTGCATCAAGTCCATGACCCTCCATATGATATGATCTGTTTGGCAGCCATTTTTTTTTTCTTCCAAACAACATTTTTACCAAAAAAATCCAAATAAAAGTTAATTTTAGGGCACATTAATGCAATATATTACTATACAAACTGTATATATACTATATAACCTACACTGTTAAAAAAAAAATGAAAGCAAGACTTTAATCTGAGTTGCATCAAGTATCCAATATGGATCTGGTCAGGTAGGTCGCAGAGGGGGTTGTCCGCTCTCCCCAGACCCCGCATTCACTATATCCGCTCTCCCCGGACCCCGCATTCACTATATCCGCTCTCCCCGTACCCCGCATTCACTATATCCGCTCTCCCCAGACCCCGCATTCACTATATGCGCTCTCCCCGGACCCCGCATTCACTATATCCGCTTTCCCCGGACCCTGCATTCTATATTCGCTCTCCCCGGACGCCGCATTCACTATATCCGCTCTCCCCGGACCCCGCATTCACTATATCCGCTCTCCCCGGACCCCGCATTCACCATATCCGCTCTCCCCGGACCCCGCATTCACCATATCGGCTCTCCCCGGACCCCGCATTCACTATATCCGGTCATCCTGGACTCCACATTCCCGATATCTGCTCTCCCCGGACTCCGCATTCACTATATCCGCTCTCCCCAGACCCCGTATTCACTATATCCGGTCTTCCTGGACCCCGCATTCACTATATCC